GTCCAGGAGGGTGACCCTCCAGGATGTGGGGCTGCCGCAGAGGTATTGGAACAAATGACATGTGGCATATTATACAGGGGTGGGTTACTCCAAGAAGGGCTCAGGACACAGTGGGGTGACTTTAGAGGGAGCAGAGAAGGCCCCATTCAAAGGTAATAGGTGTGTGCTGCCATCCTGTGGGTAGAAGGTTCCTGAGAGACCTTTTTGAAGTTAAAGGGGATGGAGGCAAAAACCATTAACAGCCTGCAGAGCCCGAAGATTCTGATTTAAGGAAGAGAGCTTAGAGCAGAAGAGGGACCGGGTGCATGTCAGATGCCACGCATCATCTCAGGCTGCTGCTGGGGCAGAGGGGGATGGAGGACCTTAGAGTCCTCGTCCTCACCACAGCTCTGAAGGATGGAAAGTGTTAGGAATCCCTTGGGCTGCAGATAACAGACACTCCGGGTCACAGGAGCTTTAAACATGGAGGGTCCTTATTGCTTCACTCAGTGTTGCTGGCCAGGCAGCCACTCAGCAGCTTAGCCTGGAGGTGGGCGTCCCTTCTCTCGCTGCTGGCGTTACTTTAGGCTTGTTGCTTCTTGTCTGCAACCCTGCCGTCATGACTCCTACCATCATAGTCTCTCACAGCTGTGTCCCGAGGAAGCTCTGTCTGTCTCTGCTTCTCTGTTTTTAGTGAATGATTTTTCTGAGAATCGCTACCAGATAGCCGCTCCCATGCCTCTTACCTGAAAGTGACTCAGGACCACCTAGGTACCCTGGCAGGGGAAGCAAAGAGCTTTGGAGCTGCCAGAGGGAAGGATGCTGACTTTGGGGAAACTCCCCTTGTGCTCTGGACAGACTCGGGACTCAACACAAGACATGACGGGATGGCCGCGGGCTGGGCCGCCAGCAGCACATGCCCCATGCAGTTGGCATGATTCTCATTTTGCCTATGGAGAGCACGAAGATAGAGAAGTGACCAGGCTTGCCCCCAGGTACCCAGTAGTGGAGAACAAGGCCCCTGACTGAACTCAGGCCGGTGTGGATCGTGCCCTCATCATTTTGCAACCTAGTGAGGACTGAGCCTGTTTCCCTCTCTAGAAAGTGAGACTGGTAACAGGAGCATAGGAGTGACACAAATGGGGGGACCGTATAGCAACCCGAGTACCACCTCCACGGTGACAAGGGACAAGTCTAGTGACTCTGGTAGTAATTTGTTCCTATTCTAGTAAACACATCACGGCAGTGGTGTTCTCTCTGCTTGGCAAGAACACTGTCATTTTCTCCCCATAAATGAATTCTGCTCACGTCAAACATTGGTTGGATTTCCAGCGGGTGATGGAGGCAAATCACCCCGTGGTTGATAGAGGTTTATTATATTTCTGTGATCCAAATTTCATTCTGTTCTGATGTGAAGGGTTTGTTGGGGGGTGTCAAGGAGATGAGGGGTGCTCTATTTTCATCTCTGGGGTTCAGGGAGGCTGCCTCAGGCACCTGCTGCTGTCCGAGTGTCCTGGGCTTGCGTGCACAGTCTCACCGGCGCTTCTGTTTCCTGCCCGTGGAATCTTCAGATCCTTGTGTCCTGGAACTGGAAGGGCCTGCAGGTGCCCAGGGAGCAGTCTTGAGGCTGAAGCTACCTGCTGGCCCCAGGCAGCCTCACCCTTACCGCTGTCTGAAGCCCACCTCTGTATTTTGTCCCATCTGGTGGGGGTCTCCAGAACTTGACCTGGCTTCTCTCTCTCCATCCACTCTAAACACTAGCCTGAGCCTGTCACCCCCCTCTGGCCTCTTGTGCTGGCCCAGCCTTCTGCTCATCCCCACCACACTCCGGCCACATGGAGTCCTTTATGACCCAGTGGCTAGACTGTACCGTGGAACGGTCACGTTCCTCCCTCCCTGCAGTTCACAAGGCTCTCGGGTGTGGTTCCCAGGGCTTTGCTCCCAACCTTCGATACCACCTAAGCCCAGGGTCTGTGGAAAGCTGATAAGAGGGTGCCAGGGAAGTAGGATACTGCCTGACTCTAGGGACACAAATAGAGTTTTTTGTTTGTTTGTTTTTTGTTTTTTTTCTAGTCCCTCGTGGAACTTAGAAGCCTTGTGCAGAAGATGGACTTTGCAGAGGTGACTCAGTGAAGGGTCTTCAAATAGGAAATTGTCCTGGGTTATCTGGGCAGCCCAGTGTCACCAGTGTCCTCAGAGGAGGGATAGGAGGGTGTGAGTCAGAGGAAAGGCATTGTCATGCGGGAAGTAGGGAGCCCATGGGAAGGTTCTAATGTCTGAGCTGAGAGAAGCTCCTAGATGCACACAGCCCTGGAGCCTCCAGAAGGAAGTCTGTCTCCTCCCCAGTCCACACTGTTCACTTTCAGGGATGCTTTGGTCCTAAGCTGCTAACAATTTGTTCCACAGTGATGTGGTGCCCAGACACCAGCAGTGGCGAGAGGACACAGACCTGGCAGGGAGGAGGGGATTGCTTGGCTGTCCCAGCAGGGGCTTCTCTGGTCCCGAAATGACTGCAGTTCTGAGGAAGGTTTTGGGTAGGGCAGTTCCCAGGAAGGGATTCCTGGTGAAGCCTCACTGATGAGCACCCCAGCCTTCATCCCAGGGGATCTCCTCCACCTTCCAGGGGGTGGGTGGTGCTCATATAACCCACATCCCTTTTTCTGTTTTCTTGTTACCCTGTGCTGTCAGGAGTGTCTCCAGGGACCCTGCCACACTATTCACTGGCTGTGCCTGGCTTGGACCTTGTGCAGACACAGGGTTCTCTGGAACATGTCTGGATGGAAGGACCGGGGAAGCTCATAGCCACCAGTCTGTCTAGGATGTGAGACAGCCATCAGTCATCATCTCCCAAGAACTGATCCTGCTTCTGGAAGCTTAGCCAGTGGCTTCCCTTATGATGCTTTGAGTGCTTTTTGTGCACATACAGCTCTCCGTACAGCTCTCCCCATCCCCCTTCCAGGCAAGGAAACTGAGACACAGGGCATGAAACTCATTCAGGGCCACACACCTCCTGAGTGTTATTCACTTCAGTAGTCTGGCTCTGGAGCCAGCCTATGTCACCTCCCAAATACACAAGCCTGTATGTGGTGGGGAACCAGGGTGGGCATCAGACCTAAGTTAACTTAAGTCCATATAAGCCTCAGATGGGTCCTGTAGCAAGGTGGGGGCAGAGCCTAAAGTCTGGGGTAGCAGCTCCTGGGTCTGATCTGGGAGTCTGCAGAGGCATGGGTTCAGGAGAACATGTCTGTTTTTCTGATCCTCCCCGACTCGTGGCCTGGTGCATCCCATCCTAGCTTGAGGAAGGCTATCATGAGTGGCCACAACACTCATAGAGTTACAGCTGGGTTCTTCCCCACCCTTCTAGACCCAACTTGGCCACAGCCAGATACACTTGCCTGATGTCAGCAGGGTTTGGGTTTTGTTTTTTTTTTCCTACGTAAGCTTTACCATATGCAAAATGGAACCAACCTGCATCAGATCACATTTATTGAACATGTCCTGTGACATTTACTAAAGCTTCACGTGGCAGTGTGCTTGGGTCGATATAAATCAGGCAGACGCCAGCTTTGTCCTTGTGTTCAGATAATGGGGCCGAGACACAGTGAGGTTAAGTGACTTCCCTGCCCTGTCTTCTTTGGCACCTCTGCCCAGGTGGATGCTGAATTAAATGAGGAACTGGAGTGAAGGAAAAGGCTCTTCCTGTAACAGTAGCTGAGTGACTTTGGAAAGTAAGACAGCTCATTATTGGGGGGTGGAGAGACAGCTCAGTGGTTAAGAGCACTGGCTGCTCTTCCAGAGGATCTGGGTTCAATTCCCAGCACTCACATGGAAGCTCACAACTGTCTGTAATTCCAGTTCTAGGGGACCCGACACCCTCATACAGATACACATGTAGGCAAGACACCAATGCACATTAAATAAAAACAAATCATTGAAACAAAAAAGACAGCTCGTAGTGACACTTGCCCTCCATGATGCCTGAAGGTCATGTCCCCCACTTTCCGCCATAGGTGTTCACCCTGTCCTTTCCTGGGTCCCTTACATTTTCATGAGTTTTCTCTTAATGGGGGTTGTTTTATCTCTCTGGGCTAGGTTTGAGCTATCCTAGCCCCTCCCCTTTTCCCCATAAATCCTTGCATGCCTGAGGTACATGTTGTCCTATGCACCTCCTCCCCTAAGAGTCCCCTGTGGCTCACCTCCAAGGCTTGTGCTCCTACTGTCTAGCACTGACAGTCTGGCCCATGTGTTCAGCCTCCCAGCTCCTCAGAGACACACCACTTTCTCCAGAAAGCCCCCACCCTCTTGGTCCCTGTCTGCGCCTATGTCTCTCTGTAGCCATGTGGCTCACGAGCCCCTCCTTGTGCTCTGGTCCTGCTGCAACTTGAAGGTCTCTGACCCATTCCACCTCACTGTGATCCCTTCCTGAGCAGGGTAGCGTCTAGGCACCTCCACAGCCCCCACATCAGCATGGGGACGTACTGGGTTGGTGTGCCCTGAGTGTGCAGAAAGGGGTGGAATGTAGCACCGTGGCCTAGCAGAGCAGTGGTATTGTAGACCCTGGAGAGGTGGGAGGCTCCCCGGGGAGATGGAGTCCCTCTGTGTTCAAATGGTAGTGGCACTAAGCTGAAATCAAGCCTTGGTCCTATGGAGGAAAGATGAGTAAGTATGTGGGCTGAGCGCTGGAACAAGAAGTCACCTTTGGCTGAAGTATAGATGGATGCTCAAGGCAGCCCCAAGATGTCCTGATAATGGACACCAACCTCACGTGCAAATGCGCTTGGGGATGTTAGTGCTAAGGGGCCTTTGGGGGTAGTGCCTTGCACTGCCTCTGTTTGTGTCGTGAGCAGAGGGGCAGGGCAGGGCAGGGCTGAGGCAGGCCCTGGGACCTTGCCTTGCACTTCTTTGTTGGTTAGGATCCTATGCTTTTCAGGGCTTAGGAGGAGTTTTGTGATGTGCTGCCCTTCCTGGCTCGGGGCTTGGCTCCCTCCAGGTTAATGTACCTACCTCTCTTCTTCCTATAGGTAAACTTGGTGCTGGGGGACGGCCGGTCCCTGGGCCTCACAATCCGAGGTGGAGCTGAGTACGGCCTTGGCATTTACATCACCGGTGTGGACCCAGGCTCCGAAGCAGAAAGCAGCGGGCTCAAGGTGAGGGGACAATGGGCCATGGGCTGCATGTGTGGGGATGTGGGTGGGAAAGATCTTGCAGCTGATTTACTTCAGCAGAGTAGGTGGTGGCCCAGCTGAGGACAGGATCAGCTGGGAAGCCCCAACTGACTGCTGGGTCTCTAATGTACAATTCTGAGCAGCAGCAGGGTGGCTTCCTACACTGCACTAGGCAGTGGGCCAGCCCAGCTCTTTTGAGGCTGCTGTTCTGCAAACCTGGCTGATAGCCATGATGGCCTTGACCCCAGGGCTTGTATGACACATTCAGAGAGCAGAAGAGAGGAAGCTAGCTATAAACTGGACTGTGGCTATAGGAGGCAGCTTCAGGGCTAGCATCCAATCCAGACCAGCAGTTACTGAAACTGCATGATTAATTAGCTCATGTTCTAAGCAGAGCTGTGTGCCCAGCACTTCACATGTATCATTTCACGCTACCTGGCGGAGTAAGGTGAGTGTCCCCAGGTTCTTCCAGATATAAAGAGGTCCCACCAACTGGTCTAAAGTGGGGTTCGAAACAAAGCTTGTGCCCAGTGAGTCTTGACTAAGTCCCAAAGCCCAGGGTGTAGTCTGCAGTGATGAACACCTTACTAGGGATAACTAGCAAGTCATCGGACAGCCAGAGACGCTGCATGCAAGGATGCTGGCCCAGGACCCAGATCACTGTGATACATGACAGTGTGTGTTTGAGCAGTCATAGATGCTGGGTCCACAGTGATGTGGAGTGCTGATGGTGGGCAAAGGTGGCATTTGAGCCAGGCCTTGGGGACAAGAGAGGTAGATGACAAAACAAGCTGGGAAGAAATGGGATGCAGGGCTGAACGATTTCATAGATTGGCCACAGATGACTAAATGAATACCAGCCCAAGCTCGGTCAGAGGGAGAGGTGTCCTCAACAAAGGGTCTGGCGTGTGCATGTGAGTGTGTGCATGTGTGCATGCATGCATGCATCTTGGGATCCACCAGGCCCCAAATCCCAGCATGGCAAACAGACTGCCATAGGGGAGGTGAAGCAAAAATAGGCTTTCGGGAAATACGGGCATTTGGAAAGTGCTCTGGGCTCCATGGGGGAAAGACAGTGCCGTGTCCCACTCCACTCCATTCCTTCTTGGCTGTGTGACCTTGGAGCCTCCTCCACCTGCCTGACCCTTCCTGTCCCTGCTAAGGAACATGCTTGCCTCAGGGCTATTGAAAAGATGAAAAAGAAACAAACTAACAGCATCATTAGTTATTGTAGTAAATATGGGTATAGACTGTGTCTCTCTAAAATTCTCATATCCAAATCCTCATCCTTCAGTGTTGGGGTCAGGAGTTGGGGCCCTTGGAAAGTGGCTAGGTCATGTGGGTGGAACCCTCATCTATGGTATCACTAACCTAGCAAGGGCATCCTCACCAGGCGCAGAATCCACTGGCATTTTAATGTTGAGCTGCCCAGACTCTGGAACTGTCAGCAATAATCTGTGCATAAGCCATAATGTGGTGATATATTGTGCACCCCAATAAAACTTATCTAGGGATCAGAGGACAGAGCGAGCCACTAGATTAGACATAGAGGCCAGACTGTGATGGTACACACCCTTAATCTTATCACTCAGGAGTCAGAGATCCTCTGGACCTCTGTGAGTTCAAGGCCACACTGGGAACAGAGCCAGGTGTGGTAACACACATTTTTAATTCCAACACTTGAGACCTCATGCCTTTGTTTGGGAAGCACACACGCCTTTAATCCCAGGAGGTGATGTCAGGGCAGAGAAAGATATATAAGGTATGAGGAAACAGGATCAGCTGAGAGGTTGGCAAGGCGAGGTTGGCTGTGGCTTGCTCTGCTTCTCTGATCTTTCAGCTTTCACCCCAGTGTCTGGCTCTGGGGTTTTTGTTTGTTTGTTTGTTTTGTTTTGTTTTTATCAATAAGACCGTTCAGCAGTTCGTGTTACATCATCCTGTCTGTGGGACTGTGTTGTCACCATTACATTATAGAGAGGGGGTCACAGGGCTCCACTCCAGCCCTAGGCAGCTAATGTTTGCTGGGGGAAGGAGAGACATTTCCTTCAGTGATGCAACTACTGTCTAATTGCACATGTAAATAAATCCCTACTCCTGAACCTGTAAGTGTAATGAACCTCATTGGGTCTCTCTCTCTCTCTCTCTCTCTCTCTCTCTCTCTCTCTCTCTCCCCTCTCTCTCTCTCTCACACACACACACACACACACACACACTCAATGCACATGGGGGGGGGCACAGACACTGTCTCTGACCTCCAGGAGTTATGTTCTGCTGGGAAGATGGGCACCACAGATACCCTGTTCATTTAGTTAGAAAGAAAGCAAAGGAGACACATGTAAAACGTCCCCACTGCCTGAGTTTGTCAGGTGGTTTCGGGCACTCAGGGGTAATTTGCTTGCAAACTGCCCACCTTCAGTTAAGCCCAATGCTGTCCTCAGCAGGGAGGCGCGCTCGGAAGGTGGCTACCACTTCCTTTCCCCTCACAGGCGGCCCCTTGCCTGTGCTGACACCTGCCCACACTCACTTGGGCATCCAGCACTGATTAAGTCTGTTTATTGCAGTGCACTTTCCGTGGAATTAGGCATATTGAAGTGGAATAAAGGGCCCGCTTGTGTGGGTGGTAGAGCCAGAACAGGCTTTATTTGTAAATAGCGCTCCGTGCTGTGGCGCGGTGCTTTCGTGAGGGGAAAGCGCCGCCTTCCACAGGGCTTCCAGCTGCTCAGCCCACTTAGCTTCCAGGGCCCAGTGTGAGTCCAGAGAGGGGGCAGGACGCCCGGGCCCTGAGTGGAAAAACACTTGCGAGGTCAGCCAGACCCCCAGCATTTAACCCAGGGTGGTCTGTGCAGCTTGGAGCTTGTCGACCTTCCTAGCAGGAATAGACCCCCTCCCCTCTTCACCATTTATCTTTGGATTCCTCCTATTTTTTTTTTTTTTTACAGTGCTCTCCCATACCCAGCCAATCTCCAGTCCTTCCGAAGAGCGGACCACTAAGCCTCCTTTGTTCCCTTAAGGACAGCCTATATTGAATGGCATTCAGAAGCAATCGTAATAGCGGTTGCCATTCATTTAACAGGTTATTATGAGTGAGACATGGTGCTAACATTTAGACACATCTGCTTGTATTTAATCCTTTCCATAGCCCTGTAGGATGGGGGTGGGGGCCTTCACAGCACAATTTAGCAGATGAGCAACTGAGGCTCAGAGAAGTGCAGTAACTTGCCCAGGGTCGGGTCACACAGGGATCCCAGCACCGGCCTTCTGACCCTTGTAGCTACATACTTTGTTCTACCATTGCTCTATTGATGCTGTCCCAGGTTGACCAACCCCATGGCCTCTGCTGAGTCTGTCCAGGCTGGGAACCCATCCCTTCCCCACCATGGGGACCAGGCTGCTGTCCTAGATAGGATCCTTGGAGCAGGACCTTTGCTCCTGGGAATGTCCCACTTGTGAGGCCACTGCTCTGCGGCCTGTGGCTTTGGAGCAGGCCTGTCATGCATCTGGAGAAGAAACAGTACCTTAGTGACAGGGGATAGTCTGCACTTTGCAGGTCTATCAGGGAACCTGGGCTGTGTGTTGCCTTTGTGGGACTGAGCTGACCCCTCTGCAGACTAGCTTTTCTAGCTCTGCCCACCTGGTCTCTCTGGATCAAGCTTCCTTAGAGCAACACCCTGTGCTGGGGACCCACCAGGTGGCAGGAAACCTGCTTGCGTCATCCACTCAGATCTTCACACAGCTCTGCAAGGTAGAACCTTTGGTTCCACGCATGTCAGGAGGGTGTGTGTCTGAAGTGTCCCAGCTCCCGGCTGTGAGAGGTAGAACCTAGGGTGTACTGCTCCCTGATGCCCCTGCCCACAACCGAGCACATAGTTGGTGCTCAGGATGGCTCCTGGAAGGACTGTGGCCAGGGCAGGCCCTGACCAAGCTCTGATCTTGAGCCCCTTCTCCACTGTATCCCAGCTTGAGCACAGCAGGGCTGGCATGTTGATGAAAGCGGTGTTAGTGGCTGTATTGGTTTGTTTTCCTCGTGGTTATGACTAAAGGCTGACAAAGGCAATTTAGAAAAGGGTTTATTTTGAGGGTACAGTCAATCCATCATGGCAGCAGGAGTGTGAGGCAGCCGGTCACATTGCACCCACAGGCAGGATGCAGACCGGGACTTCAGTCCATGGAATGACACCATGCATATTTAAGGTGAAACCTCAATTAAACCTTTCTGGACACACACTTCTAGACACCCAGAGGTATGTTTTCGTGGGATTTTAAGTCTAGTCCAGTTGACAAGATTCATCAGCCATCCTAGTAAACTTACTGCCCACATGGGATGTGAGCTGCACAGCCAGCCCTTGCTCCTCGGTGTGGATTGCTTTGCGCTAAAGCAGGCCGCATGGCACCACTGCCCACAGTGAAGCTGCTCGATGCAGGTTCCCTGAGAGTGTTCCAGAGTCCCTCTCTGGTTCTGAGGGAGCAGGCAAGTGGCAGAGGCCAGTCCATGCTCATCTCTCAGCCTCCAACTTTCCTCATTTACACCTGAGGAAGGGGAAAGGCAAGCTGTGAGGAGAGTCCCGAGGTCTGGACTCCCACAGGACTCCTCTCAACATTCAGCTAGGCCTTGCAGGCCAACTGTGTCTCATGCTCCCCCCGGGAATCCTAATGGAGTGGAGGAGCCTGGCAGACCCCATGGCTGCCCTCTCTTCCCTCTGGGTGAGAGAAGGGTGTAATTAGTATTGTATGATGCTGTTAAATGAAAGTCCTTCAGATGGACTTTGTGTCATGTGCTCCAGGGGACCCAAACTCGGCCAGACATTAAAAGAGAGAAGCAGCAGAGGACATGGCGGTACCTTAGAAACACTGCTGATCATATGGTGATCGTAATGAAAATAACATACATACTGTCTTCACATTTATATAATTCCTAATGGCTAAAAAAAGCAAAACACTCAGCTCAAAAGAACATGCTGTGATGGACTCCTTGGCAGTGCTAA